GTCCTAATTTAGGATCTTCTTTTTAATAAATTCTTGAAAATGTTAAAAAAGTGAGAGAGAAAGGGGGCCCGGCCAGGGTTTTTGCCCCGGGGCCCGTGCTGGGTCTCAACGTTCCCGATTCGAACCCGCGACTCTCAGATTGCGAGTCGAGCGCCCTAACCACCTAGCCATGACGGGCCCGACTGTTAGTGTTCCCTCATGAGTGAAAAAGTCTTAACCACATCCACAATCAGGCAGTGGTTACCTAAATAACACAAGTATTATTACATTTTGTAACACATTTAATGTATCTTTTGTTTTAGGGTTTTTGCCAACCTTAGATATTTCAGTTTAGTTTTCGATCTTTTTCTCGGTGTTCGATTTGAGAACAATTTGTGAAAGCAAAATCGTTATCATTAGCCAAAGCAACCAGGGACACGTTAGCATCCCAAATTCTACCCCTGATGGGAGCAAGTTAACACCTGTTGGTGATTTTTATTGCCATACACCACATTTACACGTTTTACCATGTATATTTTGAGAATTGCGCCATTTATGGTCTACATATATACCACCTTTTGTAAGGGTTATACTCCCTGATCCCCACAGAACTACCATGTTCGGGTTTCAGGCACTTTAGTCCCCTCTCTGGTAATTTCTACTTCCTGCATCTGTGTTGTGCTAAGAGGGAGATAGAGAGAGAAATAAATTCTCTATTCCAGCTTTTTCTATACACAAAATGCTATCCAAAATCTAATCTCAGGTAGATTAACATCAAACAACCTTACCCTTACATAGTGACAACTCGTGTGTTGAAGGAAATTTAGTTTTATTAGATATAGCTGTATAACCTCTTTGCCACCCCTGTTAACTTGACACAGTCTACACATATTTCCCTGATCATTATTATTAAATTACTATTTTATCATTTTTTCGAACTTATGTTTATTACTTTTCTGCGCCCTTTTAATTTCTAAAATCGTATTTCTATCATTATAACACGTGTTTTTCATTTTTAAAATTGTTTATAGAACCATATCAACAATGCTACTTCTTACAATATTGTTACTTCTCCGTTTGTCAATTAACTTTCCGTAACTTCGTTTAAGCGACACAAGTTCTTTCTTAATAAAAACTGGTTTATTCTTTCCGAACACAACTTTACCGATACACTCAACTTCAACAATCGCGTTAAAACAAACGCTAATCAACGAACCTCAACAATACTTCCGACTGCAGTTCAGTTACTCACTAACTATCTACACATTACATTCCCCTCTTTTATATACCAGCCTACCCTATATCTAGTAAGAACTAGAACATTCGCCAAAGTACATGATAGTTCTAGAAACGTTGCGTCACAGTAGTCATGTGACTCGATGACGCAACACTGTCTGCACCATTCTTCCACATCTTGTCTCATACCTATCCAGTAAAATCTGTGTCGTAGGTGACTCAATGTTTTCTTAACA